TACCCCCTCACCCCACCATCCCTACCCCCTCACCCCACCATCCCTACTGTTCTTTTTTGGTTCTGGGGTATTCTTGTATGGGGGAGGAAGGGTTCTTTTTATTTTCTTTTGGCCTGGAAACTGGAAACATGTCAGTCCTCCTGGGTCTTGATTATACAGTACTCAAACGTTGTCCCAAATACCCTTCTTCCTGGCTCTTTTAACACATCCACAGCCATGTATTGTTCTGAAGATTGATCGTGTGTTTATTTTGAAAACACTTTAAGGAAATAATGACCTTTGGTGACTTGAGGTTTATCTTTCCCCAGCTTTTGTGGCAGTGAATAAGAACAACTCCTCATCTTCATCCTGCTGCCCCCACCCTCCCTGTTTCCAGTCACCAGGGGGACTCTGAACACAGCCTGTTAGAGCTGGCTTCCTCTGGTCCTGACAGTGCTTTCCTGAGTTACCCTGTGTTCAGTTAGCACATGCTGAATGGTGACTATAACCAGATTGTGTCAGTCTTAGCATTGCAGAAATTGGATTAAAATTGGGTGGAGGTGCTTCTGGAACTAACACAGAGGCAGTAAGTTCCCAGTTCCACCTGTGACTGTCAAAGATTTCAAGGATTTTATATGTCAAAACATGATTACAAATGAGAAAGTGTAAATTCTAGTAGTAGTACTAGGATTATGCAAATTTTAGTTGGATAACCAATACCAAAGTTGAGGGCTTTCTTTTAAGATGAGAAATGTTGATCACTAACAGCTTGCTTTATTCATGTGTTTGGAAAGCGAGAAGCCCATTCAGCTGAACTTCATAAGGTGGCACCCTGAACTGACCTGCCCTCACACAGCTGTTAGTGCTGCCTCATTTATACACTGTCACCAGGCCTCTCTGTCTCCGGTACCTCCATGTCCTTCCCGTGCTCGGTGAATGTTGTTCAGCTCTCGTGTTACAGACGGAGCAGAGGACCATTGGTATTTCTCTTCAGTTCGGTGCAAGACAGATCAAATGAAACTGCCATCGCTGCTAAAGAGAGTAATGTATTAGGCTTCGCTATGCACCAAATATAAAGCTAGACATGCAAGTCTGTGCCTCTGAAAGATATCTGTTGATACACTGCAGAAGTTGGGATATTTTTCCACAAAGAAATAGGCAAGAAATGAAATATATATAGGGCACAATCTTGCAGGCCCTTTTACTATGTCTATAGTAGATGGATGTACAACTCCTGACATTCACATAGCCAGCTGGAGGGATGATCCTGACTTATTCTCCAAGTATCATCCATTAAATCATATCAGAGAAGGAAAAAAAATTTAGTCTTAAATCTATAATAATGGGAGTCGGCGTGTAAAGGTGCTTGCCACCGATCGTGAGGACCTGACTTCAATTATTCAATCTTCATGATCCACCTGATGGAAAGACCCAACGTCCACACATATGTCATGACACAAGCACCCACCATCATACATATACACACTAGAAATAAAAACATATGATTTCCTTTGCTTGTTTAAGTTTTTTTATGATGGTGTTATCTACAAAAATACTTCTTTTCACATACTACCCATTTAATTCTATCCTTCAATAAATGGAAATTGGAAGCTTATTCTGTGCCTAGCACACTGTAAGAAAAAAAGTTGCTACAGTTTGTCCAGTTACTGGAAATCAACACTTTGCCATTTGTCTTGTTCAAAGTGTGTACATTACATAGCATACTTTATATATATATAAAGTATATATAATCTTTATATACTTATTAATGTATAAGTATATATAATCTACATATACTTTTTAGTATATGTACTTTTTAGGGGAGTATTTCAAAGAAAGTAATGCCATACATTTATGTACCATCCTTTATCAAGAGTGCTGTATGTTAAGGCTGTGGGTATAGTTCAACTAGCAGAGTGCCTGCCTGGTATTTAAAATCCCTGTGTTTTATTTAGAGTGTCCACCCATAAACCAGTCCTAGTAGCCCACATCTTTAATCTCAGTGGAAGCAAGAAGATCAGAAATAAGTTCAAGGTTGTCCTCAGCTACTACATAGTGAGTTCAAGGCCAGCCTGGGACAAAGGAGATCCTGTCTTTAAAAAAAGGAAAAAAAAAATTGTACTTTATATATTTCACTGTTTATAGTATTTTGTTTCTATTGAGTTTGGATTTCTGAAACTATTCCTGAGGCGGGAAAGGTTAAGTTATCTGTGTTTTATTTTAAAATACCCAAGAAGTGTTGACTGCTACTAAAACTTGAGTGACAACACCGGAAGAGTCCTGAACTCAAGTGCAGTACCCAGGAAGTCAGAAATAGGAGGCATCCTAGATGAACCAGGGCGCTCGCTGTGCACAGACTGAGCAGACCTGCCCAGCTGCTGCTTCTCTGTTGGGCTGATTTCCTTTGCTAAGTTAATGTTTGTACAGAGTCCTTTTTTTTAAGAAATGAATGAACCTCAAAATAACTAGGGTTTTTTTTTAGGTTTGGTTTTTTTGTTTTTTTTTTTTTTTTTTTTTTTTTTTTTTTTTTTTTTTTTGGTTTGGTTGGTTTGATTTAGTTTTGGTTGTTTTGGATTCAAAGTAAACAGTGCTTTTAAAAGATCCCTTGTCTACTACAGCTTCCCCAGGCAACAATAATTTCCTATAGAAGTAACTTTCAAAGAAATGAGAATTAACATTTCTGTCCAAGTTTCAAGGCATTCAGCAGTCATTATGTAAAACCTTTAGCCCAGTGTTACATAACCAGTGTGGATTTAACATTAAAAATAGAATCTAAGAGTCAGCCAAGTGTACTGCCAGCTCTTGTCAGTGACGGTTAGAGCCTGTAGTTGTTTTTCTCTTAATAGATAGGTTTTGCTTTGTGTGCTACACACCAACACACAACAAACCCCATACACTTGCCCCTCCCCCCATGATGATTTGTGGGGGATGAAACGCTTGCATTCACCTGCTAGATTACTGGGATGGGGGTTGTTTGGTTGGTTTTTTGCTTGTTTGTTTTCCACATTGTGCTCTTATTAAAATTACTTGGAATCTGGGTATAGAGTCACATACCTGTAATCCGGGCTCTTAGGAGGCAGAGGCAGTTGGATCTCTGAGTTCAAGGCCAGCCTGGTCTACATAGTAAGTTCCAGGACAGAGAGATCCTGTCTCAAAAAACAAGTCAGCCAGGTAGTCACAGTGCTACACACCTTTAATCCCAACACTCAGGAAGCAAAGGAGGAGCTGTCTGATCTACAAAGGCCAGCCTGATCTACAAAGCTAGTACCAAGATAGCCAGGGATACACAGAGAAAAAAAATATAAGCAGACAAAGCAAAAAAAAAAAAAAATCACTTGAGAAGCTTTTTAGAAATGATCCATATCCAGGCCTCATCCCAGACCAAGTAAATTATATCACAGGACATCTTCATGTGAGGATGTGGATTTAATGTGAAGGCTGAGTTGAGCTTAGGGCCAGAGGAGAAGTCTTCCTGGGGCTTTCCCCCAGGAAAATTATCAGAAGGTTAAGTATTCATCTGTGTACTATATAGTGGCAGATATTTTTTTAAATTCATACTAGCTCCATATTGGACTCATGCCCATAAACAACATCAGAATGAGGATTTTACCCACGTCTTCAAAACTATGGTCCCCAACAATTTTTCAAGAATAAACATCTAGAAAATTAAATTCATAATGATCAAAATTACCATTTAAGTTATCAGGAAAATGTCTTTTTCACTCACACTCTGGTAAAAAATCTACTAGATCTAAAAATTAATGGAAAAGAAGGAAAATGCAAACTAGAAGCTTAAAAGAAATGTAAAGAAAAAACGTATGGAGAGAAATGGAAGATCCAAGAGTAAACAGGAAGCTCCCTAAGCCACCACCATCTTGTTACTTAGAAGCAATAATAGAGGACTAGAGAGATGGATCAGAGGTTAAGAGCACTGGCTGCTCTTCCAGAGGTCATGAGTTCAGTTCCCAGCAACCATGTGGTGACTCACAACCATCTGTAATGAGATCTCATGTCCTGGCCTGCAGTCAGAATACTATATGCATAATAAATAAATAAATCTTAAAGAAAGAAGAAGCGGTAATAGAGAAAATCCTCCAGCAGCCAGAGAAGAACATACATAGAACCAAGTTCAGCAAACTGTTCAGAGTTCAGGCCAGCTCTCTTCATGAAGTCCCTGCTGACTTACATACTGTCTTTGTCTTCTTGCTACTATGGCAGGCTGAGTGCTGTGCACACTGTCAGGAGCATAGTTATCCAAGTTCAAAAGTCTCTGACTCAGTAAAGACTAGGAACTGTCACCACACAAGCTAGAAGGCCGTGCGTAGAATGACATGTGCAAAACGGGGGGGGGGGGCTCTCCCAGGAAAAGTATCCAGGAAAATTTTCGTAGCTGACATGAGTGTTTTGTTGTTGTTGTTTTGTTTTTTAGCTAGGCAAAGAATTTTATCAACCTTTTCCCAAATGTTATTCCCAAACTTTGTCAGCTTAATTTGCAACAAAGAATTTGTTGTGTAATTAGCAAAAGCTGAAAAGAGCTGCAGTGTTCAGGGGGACCAGGCTTAAAAATCTTAGAGACCTAGATTTTATCAGATCCATAAAAGAATTTTAAAAGCAGTCATGGTCTAAAATGGCAGCTCCTCTTACCATGTAAAAGTACCACCTCTTTCGGAATTTTTGGAATTGCCTCTCTTCAGTTTCCCTCTTTAGCCTCATCAGAATTCGCCAGACCTGGAACTTCATCATGCTCTCTGGCAGCCACAAGTGGGGCTTTTCATCCACAGACTGGACAGGGCTTCACAGTCTCCACGCTCCAGCCCGACCGTCTGCCCCACACTAGTGTGGGACATTGGAAAGCGTTTCTGTCGGCCGCTTTGTCTCAGGCTGGCCTGTAATGC